GTGCGACAATATGAGCCGCGCATTCGGAGAGGCGCGCGCCTGCGAGGGCCGCGTCGCCCAGAAGACGCAGCGGGGCGATGCCCCCCTCGACAACCTCAGGAGCCAGACAGTCATCCCGAAGTGCAGCGCTGAGGCGATGTTCAACCTGCGAGCCGAGATGAAAGGCCTTGGGGAAGATCTCGAACCAGAAGTGAGCTATCAGAGAACGATCGATCTGCCAGCGGAAATCGCAACCGTCGAGGAGGCATGCAGGGAGTACAAGCGGACTGTCTTGGCTGATTTCGGTGAGGCCAAGGGGAATCTTGAGCTAGTGAGGCCTCGTGAAGGCTGGAATTTCGGTCCCACATCATGACGCTTTTGGCAGATGGCGCATGCAATGCAGCAGGTGATTCTCATAATCGTGAATTACAAGTTTCAGATGGATTGCGCGTTCTTTCCCGCCCCAAGGCACTCGCAGCACGACGTGGCGAATGGCGCGGGTGCTGACTCGACCTCCTAGGTTCTCCGAATAGCCTTGGGGCTGACTCGACCTCTGACGGGGCATGCCAGAGTTGCAGAGTAAAGAGCAACGGTTAACTCACGATGCTTAAACCGAAAGGGCGTTTACAATGAACATTGACACGTTGCCCAACGCCCAGTGCCAAGCAGAAACAAACGACGGAACATGGTTTAACAAACCGAGCTGCACTGAACTGACACAATAACGAACAACTAAACCAACTGCAGAAACAAATGCCCACGCCACACGACACAACGTTGTTGTCGACCCCTGCAATTGAAATTGCCATCGTCATCGTCAACATCGGCATCATCACCGTAGCCGCCATCACTATGAAGAAGACCACCGTCGCCATATGGCCATAACCATAATACATACCAGCATCGCCATCCTATTTGTATCGCATCAACATCATACCATAACCAATGAAACAACACGCCACTACTGTTATCCAACCGCCACCCCCCAAGGCCTGATACGAATGGCGGAGAATAGCACCCCCAAAAAACGTTCATCTAGGCGCCCTAATGTCAACGTCGTCGCGGCCATTTTGGCCCATGCGTTTCCATCTTTCAGACATTCGTCCACGTGCGAGTGCACGCCACGCCGTTGCTCCGATTGCTCCACCTTGCCTGGATTATTACGCCAGCTTGCGGATGGGCAGTCGGGGGCATGGCCCGATTGGGGAAAAGTTCTTCGCCCGTCGCTTGGGTTAGACTTTTCTGGGCACGGCGGGGCATCTAGCGCGGTTGGAGAGCTTGCGGGTAAAATGTGGGGTTTTGCAGTGACGCGATTCAAACAGGGGCAGTTGTCTGCGAAGGGCGTAGAAGAAGGTTGGGCTATGTCAGGACGCGCTGTGTCATCGCAGCGAAATAACGCTCGCAGAAGGGTCAGAACGCAACTTCGCCGTGGTTCGGCGATGCCTGAGGCGCGCGAGGCCAACATCGACATGTTGGCTCGCGGTTCCCAGTGCAATTCCCAATGCAGAGTTTACCTTTTGTTGCCTTGCGAGCAGATCGATGCCTCGGCTGCGGGCCCGTCAGCTTGGGCGTAGTTTCAAGAAGGTGCGACCTTTTCCAGGGCTAGGGCTGAATTGGACACCCAGGGTCGGCGCTGGCAGCCCCGACGACTTTGTCGTCATTTTCGAGAAACGGCAAGCTGCTACTGGTCCTGTGGCACCCGTTGGGTACGCATATATATATTTATATATATGTATATATATACATATATATACATATACATATACATATACATATACATATACATATACATATACATTTACGTATACTGGGTGGTGGTAGTGCGAGCTTCTCTGCACTGCAACTGTGGGTGCAGAGGCCGATGCGCGTTCGACAGCATTTGGAGAGTTGTACCGTGGTCGTTTCAAGTGTGGCTCAGTGGGCGTTGCCCCGCCACTCGGCACGGCGGGGCCCCCCGTTCGCAGTCGTCGCATCGAGGTGGCGTCCAGCGCTCCCAGGCAGCAGCCCAACAGGCAGATGGTCGGACGAAAAAGGGTGGTACCATTCAGGGCAGGTTTGGCTGGGATTTGCCAAGCTAGTGGTTGATCTCCGAGGCAGGCAGGGCGACGGCCCTACATGGGGGCGATGTACTTCAGGCGTGGCGCGGGCAAGTGCGGCGCATGCCCTTTCAGAGACTGCAGCTTGCATGCCAAATGGAGAGCCACTGTCGCAACTTGTTCGCAACACATGGGCGACATTGTGAATAAAGGTAGCTATTTGTCTATATTTTGGAGCTTGCCAGGCTTCCAGCTGGACTGCGTCGTATTGCACGTCATGCACGTACGCGGTTTGGGGATTATGCAACATTGCAGTGGCAGCCTTTGTTTGGAGCTGTTCAAACTAATTTGGCGGGGCCGTAACGCATCCAGATCCAGCATTAGCAGAGATGACGACGTTTATCAAATTGGCCAGCAACAAGCTGAATTATGCGAAGCCCCCTCTCCATAAGCTCACGATGAACATGATGAAACAAAAGAAGGCGTCCGCCCCTAGGCTAACCTTGAAAGCATCGGGCAGCCGTTTCATGGTTGGAGTCTTCCACTGGATATTCGTGAATCTCTTCCCCGCGACATCGGGTTACCAACGTCTGCGATTTCGCTGCCTGGACAATTTCTATCAGGAGCTGCCTCGGTCCAAGGATGCAGACGGAGATGAATAGTTTATGGCTGCCGAATTTGGCAGGTACGCTCGGCAGCATGTCGCGTTGTATTGTAATCTCTCCGGCCACGCAGGCCCTCCCAGAGGATACGACGCATATCGCGCGCATCCTAAGCATCATTCGTTTATCCACCCCGCTAAAGAGGATTATTTTGTCCATGGGAACCCACGGGGAACTTATAAATACAACGACGAAGATATGATTGGATACTGCGTGGAAGCAATTTCGGATTGCGCACGAAGTAGCAAGTACATTCACATATCATCAATTGAGAAATACAGGCTATAACCAGTTTCAGACAGCAAGCGGAGGCTGGCCGAGCAACTGAGCTAAAAAAGGGTTTGCCACCTTGTTCTCTTGCTCATGCTCTGTCCTCCCCATCGGTTCACCTCCACTGCCTCCGCTGCTGACACTCTCCCTGAACTTTCCCTCCCATTGCTCTCACTCCCTCGCCCCCTCGTCCCTTTACCTGTCTCCCTCTCTCTCTCTCTCGCTCTCCCCGTCTCCCTCCTCAGAGGCTTCCGCCTTGCCGAAGGCTTCGCCAGTCCGCCGTTTCGGTTGGACGTCTGGGACCAAAAGGTGGCCCTCGAACGGGCCTGGTGGTTCGCAAGAGCCATCCGACGGGGTCTGGGCCCAGGGACCCTGGGGCCTACGTGGCTCCTTGGACTGACCACAGTTTCCGATGCGGTCCCAAGGGCCGCACAGGCTGTTCCCCGAATGTCCTCAGGGGTCCTACAGCGAGCGCGCGCGGGCTCCTGATCGTGAGGGCGGATCACGCGAACTGCCCAAAGTAGACGACGTGCGCGTTCACTCGTGGATCGCGATGTTATCTTCTTCTATCGTAGAAACACTTGTTTAACAGTGGATTTTGACATTACCCCAAAACCACAAAAAAATGTGGAGGGCCTCCGAAATTTAAAGGATCCTCTTCAGTTTAAGAGAATTCATGCGCAGGGTCGGCATTGTTGCTGCTTCTGCCCAAGGGGCAGTGGGCAGGGGGGGTCCAACCCAGGCGCCAGGGGGAAACGCAAAGGGGGGCCCCCGATGGCGGGTTCATCGCAGTTGGTGCTTGGCGGTCCTGCTATTGGGGCCTCACGGCCGATCTTTCGGCGATGCACCGCCGATTCGGGCCAGTACTCCCCGAGCCAGTACTCCCTTTTCGTTTTCTCGGGGGGGTCGGGGTCAGGGCAGGCGGGGGCCCAGCCTTGGATCGCCCTCAAAGGGGGGCCCGCAGAAAAGACAGCGGGGCCCATGTACGCCGTGGTCCGAGCCAGAGAGCTGCCCTCCTTGTCAGAGGTGACCTCCTGCGAGTGCGCGGAGATGACCGCGCGGCGCGCCTCGCGGGTCTTGTTTATCGAAGGTGGGCGAGCTACAGTTGGCACGAGGCTCGTGGACAGCCCGAACTTTGGAGCTGCACGTGCCCCCGGTGGTCTCCGTGCAGGGGCGCTTCAGCCCGGAACGTTTTCCGTGCGGGTTGCCTCCACGGGGCCTCGGGAATTCGACGAAGGGCGCCAACAAGGCAGGGGTAACAGCCAACTGCAACTCGGCGACGTCGCCTCTGCCCCGCGCGAACAACCCTCCCGGCCTGCGGAGGTGATCGTTTCTTATTCGTTGTTTTGCGGATCGGCGCGGGCCCTCGCACCCCCCCCCTCCCCCCCCTCCATGCAGTAGGTGTTGGCTGCTTTTGGCGTCTGTTTCGAGCAGGTGGGGCCTCTCCCCCAGGAGGCCGCACTGCTGCAAACAGCCTCATTATAAGCAGAGGTCTGGCGCCCCCGCCCCCCCCTACCCCCTTTTCCGCCCAATGTCGAAACGCCGAATATAAAAAAGCTCACCTTTGGATTGCATCACCGTTTTGACGGTCAAGGCGCCAATTTGGGCGGTCGAGCTTTCGTGAGGTGTTTGCAGCAGGAAGCGCCGAGCAAAAAAAACGCTCACGGGGACGAGGCCTCCGGAGACCTCGGGAGCCCGGGCGGCGCCGCGGAGCGCGCCCAAAAGGCATCGCGCGCAACAAAAAGATAAAGTGGCCCCGACCCTGGATGCTCCAGGAGCGAAGCTCGAGGATCGCGGCCAGGAGGAGGAGGAGGAGGAGGAGGAGAAGGAGGAGGAGGAGGAGGAGGAGGAGGAGGAGGAGGAAGAGGACGGAGGAGGAGGAGGAGGAGGAGCTTCGAGGAGCGAAGTTAAGGGGGCTCGCGGATCCGTGCCGCTTCGCGCGGCGGTCGGTGCCTCTTGCCCGCGCGCTCTCTGGTGGCCGCGCCTCGTGGGCGCCTGCGGTTGGGGCAGTCAAAAAAAGCCTCGGGCGCGCCGGCCGCGCACCGCGCCCCAGGCCGCGCCCGAGAGCGGCGGGGGCTGCGCGCCCCCAGCGGCGCAGGAGCCGGCAGACGGGGAGGAGCAGGAGGCACAGTCGTCGAAGCGAGGAGGGGGTGGAGGAGAGGAGGAGGAGGGAGGGGAAGGTGGAGGAGGGGAGGAGGAGGAGAGGAGGAGGAGGAGGGGGGGAGGAGCAGGAGGCGCAGTCGTCGAAGGAGAGGAGCAAGACGCCATGCAGAAGCATGCACTTGTGGAGCTCCGCGCGGACGTCTTGCCGGCGCGCTCCGCGCGCTGGAGGGTTTCTCCGAAGGGCTTTAGGCGACCCGTCCTCCTCCTCCTCCTCCTCCTCCTCCTCCTCCTCCTCCTCCTCCTCCTCGGGTCGCCTACGGCCCCAGGGAACCGTGCACCGCGCGCCTGGGAGGGGGGTTCAGCGCAGATCCAAGAATTCCGCGCGGAGCGCCAAAAGTTCATGTTTATGTAATTTCTGGCGTTTCGTTCTTCTTCTAAGGATGCAGTCGGGGCTCAATAAACGGGGGTCGAGGCAAACGGGGGTCAGTCAGAGCGCTGGATTTTGCAGGATCCTGCAGGGCCTGGGGTGCACTGATCCGGGCTTGGGCGCAGGATCCTGCACGATTTTGCAGGACCCTGCAAGGCCCGACTGACCCGAGCTTACATCAGGGGAACGAGCAATGACATAGACATAAAAACTCTGAGGTCCGCGCGGATTTCTCGTGTCGGCGCCGCCAGGGGGCTCCAGCGCCGATCCGAGAAATCCGCGCGAACCTCCAAGTTCGTATGCTTATGTCATTGCTCGTTGCCCTTTCTGTTGACCCGGGTCGGTGCGTCCCCGATGCAGGGGCAGAGGCAGCGTCACGGGGGGGCCAGGGCAGTGTTCGGGGGTGGAGCAGCCCCTCCGCGCACCTCCCGGCTCCTTGGCCTCGCCCCGCCTTCGCGCCTCGCCCCGCCTCGCCCCTCTGGACTCCGCGCCCCTTCTGATGTCTCATCCTCGCTCCTGGCTCCTGGCTCCTGGCTCCTGGCTCCTGGCTCCTCCTCCTCCTCCTGCTCCTCCTCCTCCTCCTTCTCCTCCTCCTCCCCAGTGGCGAGGGGGGAGGGGGATCTGCTCGATGTCGGCGGGGTTCTGTGGCGTTTTCGTCAGATCTCGGTGGTCTTGGCGGCTCTCTGGACGCTCTCCCGCAGCCGCGCCTCGCCGAGAGCGTTGCGGGGCTGCACGGCTCGTCTCGGATGGCCGCCTAAGGCCCAAGTTTGAAGTCGGGCGTGCCCCTCTACAGGAGGAGCATTCAAAATAGTAAAAAAATAGTCTGGGACCGATTTCTTTAGTATTTCCAGCAAGTGTTGAGTATGTTTGACTATTGTTCATTTTTCGTCCAGCATTCCCCTGTAGGAGGACATGCCCGACCCAGCCCAAGTTGCGGCCCGCAAGCAACCAGGGACGGGAATGGGCTCAGGGGGAACAGGCGTCGACCATCGTCCGCCCGCTCATCGCCGAGGTGGGCCCAGTAGCCCACCCCGCCCAGGAGCGTTCCGCCACCGAGAGCCCGTCGCCGATCTTTGGGCGACGTGCCGCCAGTGTGTCCCCCGATGCCTCCCAGCTCCTGTCGCCGTTCCAGCTGGACGGTCAGCTCTGCCAGCCTTTCCACGGTGATGCAGCTCGCATCTCCATTCCTCCCTCCACGATCGTTCCGACGTTCCCGAGCCGTCTCGCAATCTTTGAGCCTCTCGCAATGCCAGCTCGATGTTTCCCCCCTGAGCTGGTCTCATGGCGCCAACATCGCTGAGCGGATTTCGCTCGGAACACGGTCGGATGGGCCCGGAGTGTCCTGGATAATTTCGCCCTGGATTTCGAGGTGAGTTTCGTGCGGATTCTTGTTGGGCAGGAATGAAGACTACAAAACATCCACGCGGAATTCACGTCGTGTTTTGCTCGCCATTTCGGGGTGTTTACTGAGAGATCCACGTCTGCAAGGCCGGTGCAATGATGCTTCCCCCCTGAGCTGGTCCAGCCCACCCGTTCCCCCCCGCAAGGACGGGGGCTCCGCCGATGGCGTGCGGCACGAGGAGCCCGAGCACCTGGCGTCGGAGTCGCCCATGAGCAGGGTCCCGACTGGGCACAACCAGGGGGTGGCTGTGGTCCTTGCTCGGGTGCGGGCTTAGAGGATGGTGAGGACGAGGGGGGACGTTCGAGGAAGAAAAAACGCAACAGGTGTATGTTTATGGCGTTGTTTCTGCTTCGAGACGTGGATCTCATGGCCGGGGCCAGAACATCTACCAGATACTATGACCCCTCTCCCTTCTTCTGTCAACGCGTCCCCTGGCCCCCCCTCGTCCGGTCGCGCCGAACGAAAAGGGGGGCAATAGGGAAAGGGGGGGGATCACGAACTCTGCGGCATGCAGCTGGTTTCGGCCCCGCCGCCGGGCCCGTTCCTCGATATGTCGAGGAACGGCCCCGCGCGGGCCCGTTCCCTGATATATCGAGGCGCCCATGTATACATGGGCGCCTCCCGGCGCGGGGAAAATCAGCTGCATGAGCTGATTCTCTACAGCAAAGGTATACCCTTTGCTCTCCCCCCCTTCCGTTCTGCGGCGCGGCGGCGGCCCCGGCGCGGTCCTTCGGGGCGGAGCGCCGCAGGGGGGCCCGGAGTCCACCAGCATCGAACGATCCGCGCCAGTTTTAAGTCGGGCCTGTCCCTCTGCAGGGGGAGTATTCAAAAATAGTCGGGGGGCTGTTTGTTGAAACTATGTTTGAGCATTTTGGGTGTATGTTGGTGGGTATTTTTCATTTTTCGCCCCAAATCCCCGCGTATGGGGACAGGCCCGAGAAAACGCTAGTTGGGAGTCGGAGGTTGATAGGCCTCCTACCCTGACACGTCGATTAGCGAACGAGCCGTTTTCGGTTCGCGAGAGGGCTTCGCGGCCGCTATTTTTGCGGGTCTGGGTCCGTCGGTTTCGGTCCTAATTAGGCAGTTTTCACGAAAGGGTGGTTTGCTAAATGGAGGCTTGTCCACCGCCGAGAGAGCCGCGATCGCTCAAACCAGGGCTCGAGCGAAGCGGTGTTTTGGCGATCTCGTGGTTCGTCCTCGTTTGGATGTCGTTTCTCAGCAGTGGAAGGAACGAAGACACAGCGACGGAGAACGAAAACACAACGAAAACGAAAAACACTGTTGAGCTCGAGCCCTGGCTCAAGTGCAACACAAGACTGCAGCAACGTATAGCTTTTCGGAGCTCCGCGGGGGTGTCTCGAATCGGCGCCTGGGTCCCCCGGCCGCGCTTCCCGCGCGCCCCTGTGGCGCGCGCCGCGCGCCAGATAGGGGGGCCCAGCACGGGTCCAAGAAGTCCACGTGGACTTCCGAGTCTATGTCTATGTTGTTTTTTGGTTCGGTGGCAAATCATGGGAGCCCGGTATACCCTCTTAAGTCCGTCTGTAGCGTCGACTAGCGCCGATTAGTGTCTGGAGTCGATGCGATGGCGCCGATTTAGCGTCGGCTAGCGTCGATGAGCGTCCATTTAGGGTCGAATAGCGTCGATGTAGCGCCGGTTAGCGTGGATTCGCAATCGCCGACAAGATGGTATGGGAGGCTCCCATGAGTTGCCACCGTTTTTTGGTTCCGTTAATCAACACGCGCGACACGAATTTGCCAGTCCTCCCCTGGGGGGAGCCCATCGGCTTCGCTGCCCGTCTCCAGAAGGATCGTAGATGCGATGGTTTCCTCTGAGGCGGTGAGGAGCACGGCTGCCCCGCTGGTAGCCAGTCCGAAGGTTCGTGAGGCCTTCGAGTGGCCCTCAGCAGAGTGCGACGCATCCCCTCAGAAGGGAAGCACTCACAGCCGACTCCGAAAAGACTTGATCAACTTGAACAAGGCGGTGATCAAGTGGCTGGCCCACGAAGAGATCGGTGTGCTGACGCGGGCCAAGCTGAGGGAACGAATCCGAACCTCCACAGCGGCACGGTCACTGTGCGAAGCGCACGGGGACCGCTTTCGGAGAGGAGAGTTTGAATGCCTCGCCCTGGACCGGGCGATCGCGGCTCGAATGAAGAGCAGCTTAGCACAGTCTTAAGACCGTCAGGAGAGCTCTCGTCTCGTAGATCCGCAGTGCTGCCACCGCAGGCACGCTTCTCGGGGCATCATGCTCATTTGAGCGACGCAGAAGAACGGGGTCGTCTTCACTGACAATTCTGCGTACGCTTCCCGCGTCGGGCCGCGCGGAAACCTTCCTCGTTTCCAGTGTGGAGTGCCGCGCTGGCGGCCCGCGAATGCCTCCACGTAAGGTCGCTATGTCTCACCGCCCGTACCCCCCCCGAACCCGAAATTCGGGCGAAGTTCGGGTCTTCGGATTGGGTTGGGGTGGTTTGGTAGGTAGTCAATGTCATCTCGCGAAAGACCCCTGTCTTTTCGTCGCTCGCTTGAATCTCATCGCGGTGGCCTGTGCAGAGGATCAAAGGGTGTGGTGCTCCGCGCCTCGTTCGTCCCGCCGCAGCGAACGAGCCGCGCAGGGCCGGGTGAGCGATTGGGTGACCGCACCCGCGCCACCTCTTCGCTTAGATGAGCTTCAAGCCGCTGGGGGCGTTTTTCAGTTTTCGAGATCTTCATGCCTTCCAGGCTGTTTCATGTGTTTGTTGTTGTGCTTTGTTTCGTGCTTCTTGTTTGTTGTACGGTGTTTGGGCTTCTCGTTGTCGTCGTTTTCGGTTGTTCCGTTCTCTTATGCTTCTGCAGTTTGTGTTTTCGATTTCGTTGGCCTAGTACTGAGAGTTGACAACGGGAAAGGAACAACACCCCCAGCGTTTTAGAACATCAACTCAGCCCCTGTGCCCTTGGCAGCGCTCAGGCGCATGGCGACGGCCGCTGTACAGTGAGCGGAGCACCGGGGCAAGATGCCAAGGCACAGAGCGCGTGGCGTCTTGGACCGTGTGACTGCAGCGCGGAGGGCAGACTTCGAGATGCCTGCGGCGACTGCCGCCATGCAGCACCCGTTGTTGTGAACTGCCCAGAAGGCTGCAGCACATGACAGCTGAGATCCCTAAAGCTCTCGAAGGCTACATGGTGCGACACCTCTCATCCATGGGTCCGAAAAGGTAGTAACATGTGACAGCGGTCCCCCTGAGGGCCCACAGCCGTAACAAAAGACACCTCTCTCCGCGCAGCGCCTGGAGGGCCGTCACATGAGACAGAGTTTTGTTCCCCAGCTCGGATAAGGTTTTAACATGCCACGGCCGATTTCCTCTTGGCCCAGGGCGTCGTTACATGCGGCAGCGCATTTTCTTATCGGTATCGAATGAGCTTACGTTGCTGGGAGGCTCCCTAGTATGAGCTTTTTGCCTCTCTGGAACTTGCTGGCGGCGGTCTTGGGATCCCGTCTTGGAGCACATTGTTGCCATCTGCGGGGGTCTCGAACCTGTTTCGTAAGTCCGTGGGACCGTCCAGCGGGCGTGGGCTGGTCCTGAGCGGTCCTGGAGCCGTATTTTTGGGGTGATCTCCAGTCGTCTCTTGGCTACCTTCGATGATCCCTGCTTCGTCTTGGGGTGGCGCCGGGCCTTCTGTGGGTGTCTCGCGGCTTCTGCAGGATAATGCATGTGGCGTGGCCAGGGCAGCTCGTGCCTCCGGATGCCTAGGGCCTCGTGAGCCTCTTGGCACTGGAGCGTGTCTGCGAGGCCTGCTGGGCATGCCTTACAGTGGGGGGCTCATGCCAAGAGACACCCTGCTTGCCTCCAGGGTGCCCTGGGTTTCTTGGGTTTCGATGGTTTTGCCATGGAAGGCGCGACGCTCCCACACCAAACATCGATGGACGTCCCGGGGTATCAGGGTTGGGTTTCTTGTGGAAGGTGTCTTGTGGTCGGGCCCCTCCTGTACCTTTGGGCGCCTCCTGTATAGGCTGACAGGCCTCCTTGGGAGTTCTGCGAAGCGCCTGGGAGGGTCCTCTGGCGTTCCCGGCAGAAGCCGCGGGCCATCTTGGGCCTACCTTGATTTGGGATGCCTCTTGGGTTTTCTTGGGTGCTCTCGGGGCCTCGCGGGTGCTTCCTTGTGCGCTTTTTAGGCGCCCCTTGGGTGCCTCGTGGGTGGCTCCTGAGGGCCTCTTGTGGCCTCTGGGGTGCCATCAAGGGACTCGTGGGGGCCTCCCGGGGAGCTCTCGGCGGTCTCGGAGGCATCCTGGCGCCGGGGCTCGAGACTTCTTCCAGGCCCCTTCGTGGTGCCACCCTCTGAGGCCCCGAAAGAGTTGACGCACAATGTTTTCTAATGGTTGCGTTTCGGGAAACGTCACGCGGGACGCCCGGGAAGGTCTGGCATTTGAAGCTCTGACGCCCATGCAGACGTCGGCGGCGAGCCCGGGGGGGAAGTGAGAAGGAGAACGCCTTCTCAGAAGGCTCGGAAGCCCCCCGGCCTTCCGAGAAGCTTTCTAAGCCTTCCTCGAAGACGCGCAAAACTTTTCAGAAGGCGGGGGGGGCTTCTGAGAAGTCCCGCCGCCCTCTGAGAAGGCCCTCTTCTTCTCACTTCCCCCCTTCGCTCGCCACCGAAGCTTTCTTGCAGCACTCAAAAGACCGAGCCCGAAGGGGCACGAGGATGCCCCCCTCGGTGCCCACGGCACGGTGGCGGATGTCACCAGAGCGTCCCTGGGTCTCTTGGGCTCGAAGGGCTTCACCGAGGCAGGTCTTCGCGCCTCGCGGAGCTCGGCCACCTCCACCTCCTCCACCTCCTCCCCCCCCCTTCTCCTCTTCCTCCTCGCCCTCCTCCTCCTCCTCCTTCTCCTCCTCGCCCTCCTCTTCGTCGCCCTCCTCCTCCTCCTCCTCCTCCTCCTCCTCCTCCTCCTCCTCCTCCTCCTCCTCCTCCTCCTCCTCCTCCCCCTCTCCTCCTTTTCCTCCTCCTCCTCCTCATCCTGCTCCTCCTCCTCCTCCTCCCCGCTTCTCTTGCGGATGCATCGCCAGTGCATTGGCGATGCATCGGCGATGCGGTGCCATGCTATCGTAGCCGGGTCCATCATTCGGAGATGTCTTCTGTCACTCAGAGGTCTCATCTGGAGATGTCATCCAGCGGGGGTCACCGAGGGAGGTTTTTAGTTTTGGGGATCCCCCTCGTGTCTCTCTCAGCGGGAGTAAGCTCTGCCCCTCCTCCTGCTCCTCCTCCTCCTCCTCCTCCTCCTGGTCCTCCTCCTGCTCCTCCTCGCAGTCGTAATCGTCTTCGTCGTCGTCGTTGTTGCGCGGCGGGTGCCGCGGAATCATTTTTCCAGTTTTGGTGAGACCCCGATTCGGCAATAAAGACATCGACTCGATAATTCGTTGTAACCTTTGGAATGGAGTTCTAAAGACATACCTCGGTTACGTACAATCAGAAACTAGGGCTCCCTCTCCCCTGGCTATACAAGTGTAGTTTGATGGCAGGGTTGGCTTTCTCTTGAAAGCTTGATTGGGCCCGACGTCTTAGTGCATGACACTCCACTGCGTGCCAGGGGCATGGCTGAGGATTATTCTTGCAACGTGTTCAGTGGGTCTGAAGACCTTCACGTTTGCATATCCTGGAGCTTTGGCAGGCTTCCTCCAGCCGTACAGCTCTACATTCAGGTCGTCACGCACTGCGCATGGCGGCGTCTCGTGTACAGAATCGCAGGTGCAATGCTGCACTTCTCGACCGTCCTGTCGTAGCGCGTGAGTTGCTCTGGGCTGGGTGAGTGATTGGGTAACCGCACCCGCGCTACCCTGGTGTCCTGAGCAGCACTCGTGTGCATCGCGACTGTCGGTGTATAGAGAGTTAGTGGAGCATGTTCACGGTACCTTCCTCAGTGTTTGGGTCGGAACAACCGTGCTCATACACGCTGCGCGTGCAGCGCTTGATCTTCGATAGCGAACGCTCATGCGTGCAGAGTACCATCATGCGTTGCACAGGTGTTGATGCCACACGGACGCTGATCTCAATCCGTCCGTGCACGCCCAACCTCGGCATGTGCCAGGCAGGTCGCATATGCTACGTGGGAGAATCTGGGCCTTCACATCTTCCCCGAGTAGACGAAGTCGGAGGACTGAGCCGCATCGATGATGCATCGGCGATAAGGCTTCACGTGGAGTCCGATGTCCTCCACTCCAGCGTCGCCGATGCATCGCCGATGCATCGGCGATGCGGTGCGATCCTCTGGCCCCGTCTGCTCCAGCCCCGGCTCGGAGGCCACCACCGGCCACGCGCAGAGGGGGGGGTCGGCGGGTGGAGGGAAGGCTTCCGAGAAGCACCCCGGTTTCTTAGAAGGCGCGGACCCTATCTGTAGATGTAAGGCCAGCGCCTTCTGAGAAGCAGCCACCCTCTGAGGCGCCTTCCCCCTCTCCCTGCCCCCATGGGGGCCCTGCCAACTTCAGCGGACTAGACACGCCTCATGCCAGCATCATCCGTTGGCGAGCCAGCATCATCCGTTGGTGAGGGCAACTGGGCGGGCGGGCCCTTGCTCCTATCCGTTCGGCCCCCCTCTCCTGGACCCGCCCTCTGCTCCTCCTTCCCCTCGCCCCTTCGCCACTCTCCCTCTTCCGGACCTCCCTCATTTCCTCTCCCCTGCCTGTTTTGTTGTGTTATATATATATATATATCTCTCTCTCTCTTTTTGTTTCTCTCCCCCCTCTTTCTCTGTTTCCCTCTCTCCCTCTGTTCCCCCCCGAAACGTGCCCCCCCCCCCCTCTCCCCCATGACACCTATTATGGCCACGAATGAATATATCTCTCAGAGGTCCCGATGAGAAGGCGGCGGAGGAGGAGCAGGAGGTCGTGCCCAGAGAGGGACGGGAGGTCACAGAGAGAGGCGCGACGAGGGACGAGCGGGGCGGGGAGGGACGCACTTCAAGCGCGGTGCGAGACTTTCGCAGTCCGCGTGGACGTCTTCCGAGGTCCATAGCTGATGCAGCTCCTGCGAGGTTACATTCAACGTCGACGCTGGTATGTCCGTGGCCGAAATTTGCCAGACCTGGTATGATCCCGCATACATGGATTTAATCCCGCTGAATCCGGTCTTTCTTCATGGCCACTCAACTTTGCTCACCAGCTCGCAATCGTTCTTAGAGGTTTTTTTGTTACCCCAGGCTATCGGGCTTGCCCCCCCACCCCCCGGGATAACCTCACCCTGTCGGTGGAGCATGTCCAGACATGTTTCGGCATTCCCAGTCGGTGCCCGCCTCGTCGAAGCACGAATGGTAGCATCGTCGCAGCACCGTCAGCAGCCGTGTGGGGCCGCAGCACAGGGTGCGCGCGGGCATGTGCGGGGCTGCCCGCAGCGCGAAGGTTGGCTCATCGACCAGCCCCTCCCCCCCCCCGGATAACCCAGGGTGTCGCCGACCCCCAAGAACACAGTCTCTTACGAAGACCTCCGACCTCCTCCCAGCACAACTCAGGAGGGGAAAAGCACAGACACGATTTATCGTCGCTTCCCCAGACAATGTCGGAACATGTGGGAAGTGGGGGGGAAGACAAACACCCAGAACATGTGGGAGCATATGGGGAATCCTGTTATTTGTGTCTATTTATATAATCGCTTCGCTCATTCCGCTGGCCCTCGAGCGCTCTATGGGGCCTCTTTGAAGCCTCTTGGGGGCCTCTTTGGGGCCTCCTAGGGGCCTCTTGGGGGCCTCTTGGGGGGGTCTCTTGGGGCCCCTTGGCGGCGTCTATGGGGAATCCTTTTATTTGTGTCTATTTATCTATGTGACCCGGGGCCCCTTCGAGCAGCAGGCGCTCGGGGCCTTCTCGCCGACGGGGTCGCGGGCGGGGCCGCGGGGCGGAGCACGGGGCCAGCAGGGGCAAAAGCGGGGCGCGCGGCGAGGGCCGCGGGGCGGGCCGGTGGCTGCGAGCGGGAGCACAGTCAGGCCACAGGAGAGCCCGGCACTGGCAGCGCGGCTCCGCACGCGTGACAGCGCGCCTCCTCCTCCTCCTCCTCCTCCTCCTCCTCCTCCTCCTCCTCCTCCTCCTCACCCCTTCTCCTCCTCCTCCTCCTCCTCCTCACCCCTTCTCCTCCTCCTCCTCCTCCTCCTCCTCCTTCTCCTCCTCCTCCTCCTCCTCGCTCCTCGCGCCCCCGCTGCCCCGAGGCGCCCCTCGCATGTGCTTGCGGCTGGCTTCCGATCCCGTGCGGCACCTTCGAGTCTGGAGCAAGAACACAGCACGGCCCCAGGAGAGCGAGGCATCGACAGTGTGGCTCAAGATCGACACTGAGGTGGCCGGGGAGCCCCCGCGACATGTCCACGAGCGCACTAGCGTGTGGTACAGTCAACCCGCATGGTAAGGATAGGCAACCGCTTGCACGAGTTGCCCCCGAAGCCGCGGGGCGGGGTTCGCAGTGCGTGGCGCGGTGGGGCGCAAGGGGCGAAGGGCAGCCGGCGGGGTTCGTCGGCCGGCCACGGCCGGGTCGCGGGGCGGGTGCGATCCCAGCCGCCCAGTCCCACGATCGATGCCGCACCGCGCGTCGGGCGCGTTGCAGCACGCCGCGCGGTGCCCTCACCACCACCCACCAAAGCGAGCAGTGGCGAAGCGTTGTGGCTCGCGTATAGGCCCGCCAAGGAATGTTCTAAGAACCTCTTGTGGTCTGCACGGAAGGTCCTTAGGTCATTTCTGGCTGGGGCTGTTTTGTCTCAATACATCGGGCATGGGGGCGCTGATAACATCTCGTGGCAGGACAATAATCATGCGGGGACGGTCGGTCCCTGCTCGGCCAAACCGCCCCAACCCAGCCCGAAGACCTCGATCTGCCCTCCATGCCCAGTGGGGTGGAGGGGCGTCCGAGAGTATTGCAGATCCACGCACGGAGCTCGCGTGCCCCCCCCCCAACCCGAACTTCGGGTCTTCGGGTCGGGGTGGGGATGGTGGTCTGGTAGGCACGCAGTCATGCTCCGAAGAGGCGAGGCTGACTCCCCGGAGCGCACCGCAGCGGACAGAGGAGGTGGGGAGGGTTCGGTAGCAGGTCACGGGAGCCTCGTCTGTCCTCGCGATTTTGTTCTGAGGGCGCACTGGCGTGCGTTGGCGTCTGGTAATCGATGGGGAAGCGCCGATTTCGCGTCGATGTAGCGTCGATTTAGCGTCGAGTTCGCGTCGATGAGCGCCGATATAGGGTTGATTTAGCGTCGATTTAGCGTCGATGTAGCGTCGATTAGCGTAGATTCGCAAGGGCCAGCAAGAGTACATGGGAGTCTCCCATGATTTGCCGCATAAGGTTCACCCCCCAACATGAGTCGCATCTGACGGGGAGCAGGTGGGGAAAGGAGAGGAGGGGGTTATGATGTTCAAACCGACTTTAGCCTTGACCACCAGAAAGAATTTCGAGCACCAAGGGAATTCCGAAACTGGAGGGTTTGCACGTGTCGGGCCCTGGGAGGCGATACTCGCTCGACATTGTTTCGATACTCGTTCTGGGTACCTGAGATTATTTCTGGGATGTGGTCCTTACGTACGATGAGGACAGCATAAGGAGGGGGCTCGTGGCCAGAGTGCAATGACATCCACCGATCGGGGAGCCGGAGTCCTGGAGCCACGCGAGGCAGTGGACGTGGACGGTCTCGGGCCCCAGGGGTCGGGGTGGGGCGCAGAGATTTACACCCCCACTCGGCTTCCTCCTCATCTTCCTCCTCTTCCTCCTCCTCATCATCATCATCATTATACTCTTCCTCCTCCTCGCCCTGGGGTCCCAGAGGGGGCTTCGTTGCCTCAGGTGGTGGGCATGTGCACTTTGCGGCCACGCAGGGGGGATCGCACAGCAGTCGCCGCGAGGGGCGAGGGTCCTGAGGGAAACGTGTCCTGGGCCTGGGGGTTTTCCTCACGTGCAGGACTCCACGAGGAATATCCTGGAGGCCTCGCGCCCCGCCAGACGTGGGGTGACGGTCGCGCCATGACGTTTCGCCGTAGATCCGACGTGAGTCTGACGTACACCTGACGTCAGTTCCGATGTCAAGTTCCGCGAGAGGCTTCCAGAATGTTCCTCATGACGTTTCCAAGGGGCGACGTTCGGAGGGAACAGGCTCAGGTGGGAACGCATCGCTCCCACATCGCCCCTCGATCGCCGAGAGGGGGGCCCTATCGCCCGCCCCGTGCAGGACTATACAGATTCACTATCGGGGGCGCATGGCAAACCTGTCAACGATGTACCGCCGATTCAAGCTCGATGTTCTCCCCCCCCACACCCCACTCCCGATCCCTCCCTCACGTTGCCCCTCAGTCATCTCAACGCTGACGGCGCTCGGGCAGCCGGCAGGCCAGCAAGTGCAAGGCCAAGGGCCTGTTTGCGGAGGCCCGGCAGGACGCGGTGACCCGGGCCCCCTTGCCCAAGAGGGGAGCGCGCCGACCCCCGTGGCGGGCGCGCGGTCGGAGGCCTCGGGACGCGGCCAGCGCGCCGAGCAGCTTCTTTTCTGCGGGGTCGTCTTTAGGGGAACAAGAAGTCACATAAACATACAAACTCGGAGGTCCGCGCGGAGTTCTCGGATCGGCGCTGGGGCCCCCTGGCGGCGCCTCTGGCGCCGCCCCTGGCGCGCTCCGCGCGCCAGGGAGGGGGTCCAGCGCCGATCCGAGAAGTCCGCGCGGACCTCCGAGTTCTTTATGTTAATGTGACTTTTTTTCCCCCTAGTCTCGGCACTCTGCACTTCAGAAGGGGGGGCCCCAGGCTCTTGCAGGCGAGCAGCTTTGCCCCCCCTCCCCCGAGCCGAGATCTGGGCGCGGGAGTCTTCCTCAGAGCGTGAATTACCTACCCCGCTTTCGCTCCCAGTCAAAACCAAGCCACACCACGCGCCTCCTCGTCAAGCGGCCTGACCAGCACAGGCCGCAGTCTGGCATCGTTTGGTATCTCTTGGAAGCGAGGGTGGTCAAAAGCGAGGCAGGTTTGTTTCCCCCCTCACCCCCCCCCGAGCCGAGACCTGGGCGCGGGCGTCTTCCCACACTGTCGCACACTGGGCCTTTCCCCGCCCAGCCTCGGACCCCCCGGGACCACACAGGGCCACCGTTGGTCGAGCCGGCGCCTCACGGGTGCAC